AGTCAAAGAGGTGCCTATACGGCACGTTTTCTCTTCACATGTTAACAAATGAGCAATGCTATCTAAGAGGAATAATGTTCCTCCGTGTAGTATTAGGGACTGGTGATGACCACTTTGTTGCGAAGAATTGCCTTCAAAAATTGCAGGCAAAGCGCATATCATCTTCAACAGTGAATGCCTACGGGAGCCCTCGATGTAAAGACACGTTGTTGACAAAATAACAAGCATCTTATTCGTACGCTGTGAAATACTTTCAACGATGCTAAGGATACGAGCTTTCCTGTGGCTCTCCAACTTGCAAAAACATGCGCGCACATCTGAGAAGAAGGCCATCACGGTGTACCTGGTTTCATAATTCACGTAATCAGATTGGACACCTGTAATCTCAAAGCTGCCTAGTCGCCATTATGCCGTAAAACCACTCTGCAACGTTTGCAATTATCGAAGGCGCAGTGGCTGGGTGTCGTTTTCTACATTAGTGGGTAGGGCCTCAGAGTTAGATCTACAGAGAAGCCTACCATGTAGAGAGAATGGTGCGATTCTAACGGCCAGAAAGAAGCTTAAGCTCAAAACACAAAGCACGAGCGACTGTGTAGGCCTCCAGGGGGAATGTAGTAGGTACCGGGGAAAGGCATGTGGTGCAAGTCAGCATTACAACAACTAACCACTGAAGCGGCGAGGAAAATTTGCAGAAGAAGAAGTAAATGAGACAGAATTGACGAGAGAAGCAAGAGAGAGTGCCATGCGGTAGGACTATTCACCTCATGTCGCGTTAGCTTCAGCACTCTAAAATTCTTGAAGGCTGGGGTGGCTGGAACCCCTGATTTTAAGTGAAAGTGCGATACTGAAAGCTACCGTAAAGCCGCTAGACGGACACTCTAGCACTTTAGTGCAGGGTAACCCTAAAATTCTTCAAGGTTTGGGCGGCTGGAACCCCTGATTTTAAGTGAAAGTGCGATACTGTAAAGCTACCGTAAAGCCGCTAGACGGACACTCTAGAACTTTAGTGCAGGGTAACCCTAAAATTCTTCAAGGTCTGGGCGGCTGGAATCCCTGATTTTAAGTGAAAGTGCGATACTGTAAAGCTACCGTAAAGCCGCTAGACGGACACTCTAGCACTTTAGTGCAGGGCCATGGAATTTGAAAACTAAGGGTGTGTTGAAGAGCCACCGAGCCCTCAGCAAACAGTAATTAATGTACATCTTCGGCCGCACAATTTGCTTGCAAAAGAATCTAGAAAAGTCTAGTCTCATTTGACTATACCGTTGTCTTCATCGTGTGAATTCCCTATGTAGCACATTACCCACGCCTGAAGGGTTCGACTGTCAGAGAACGAGGTCAGGGCTTGAGGCCCTACGCCCCAGCGCCGCCTGAGGCTTGCCCATTACATTCACAGTATGAAAATGCACGATATTTAGTGCCTTGACTGAGTTTTTTGTCATGTGCAGTCAGCGGCAGGGAATGCGCATCGCGTTGCCTTCGTTGTGTTGTGTATATGACTACATATCGCATTGTCTGCCTCCGGTTGCCTCCAGCTATGGTCTTGACAATACAAACAGCTATAGATTGCAGCCAGCAGCAGCGGGCCTTAACCTAAATGACTGTTTTATGCCTATGGGCTCATTGCTCAATGGCTGAATGTGCAGTGCCCTGGTCTCACCCGGAATGCAGGTGTTGTGGAAGCAGCTGCACTGATGTGCGCCCATAAGAATTGAAGTGCTCCTGAACGGCCTGAAATCTTGAGCGTCATGAGCTTATCCTTAAATGTCGAGAAGGCATCTTTTTGTGTAACTTTCATAGTGGGCGTCGACTTAAAGCTTCAAGCAATACCGCCTTACTGGGGGACCGGACAAGCTTGCCACGTCTCTGGTCCACGCATCGGTGTCTTCCTGAGGACCTCGACCGCCAAGCAGTACCCCACGCAACTCTCATCATTTTTCTCCTTTTAAACAATTATTTTTAATAAATTTATTATTTCATTTCGCTACCAGCCTTCAGAGGGCCAAACCTTCTGGGGAGCATCAGCGGTATAGAGAACTTCGGGCTCATAAGCGCATTTTCATGGAGTCACGCCTCAGAGTAAGAATGACCAGGGAATTTTAATGTGAACTATAAACGCACGAGGCGACACACTCCCCTGCTACTGACATAAGCTCAGCAGGTGGTGCAGCTCTTCGCAATTGGGTGGCCCAACGGCATAGCCCGAAACAGGGCATTTATCATGCATTCCCATGTTGATGCCAAGCATCTAATGCCCATGAGCGGGGCTGCCGTATTTTACGGGCCAAACTCGTCGCATCGGGGGCCAGAACAACTGCGCATGCATACTATGAGCTGGAGAATGGACTGCTTCAGTGGCAACTTTTTGGTTCTGTTTTTGCTTATTTGTGCATGGCCAGCCTTTTTGTGGTCGCCTCTGGGAACTCCTCAGACAGTGGCAGCAACACAACCGTCGCCACCGCCAACATTAGCAGGAGGTTCCTCCAATGCCCATGAAGATCAGAGGAATCAAGGTCTTCCACGTGCAAATACAAGCCAACAAGCCAAAGATCCCTTCGCGGGCTGGTTGGAAAGGCTGTTCGAGGAACGCGAGTTGTTCGTAGCAGCGGGGAAGCACGGTTCTGAATTCCGCAGTACCCAAGAAACCATGGGACAGGCCTCAACACCGTCGGTGCCTTACCGCAAACAGGTTCTACCAGAAAACCTTGTTTCTGTTGGGATGGACACATTTTCCAGTAACGTTCAACGTGCCCTCAAGCAGCCCCAGATGGTGGTCGAGCACTTCCATGGCACAGACCCATTTAAAATAAAACCGCTTCCGTCAGCGCAATCGAAAAGGTCTCGTGATCCTTTTCCTGAACGTTCAGTTGAGAGCAGCGGATCAAATATGCAGTCACCTGCTCCTGAAGGAGGAGAGGTGCAGCCGCTTCCCTTTCCTGGCGCAAAGAGACACATAAGCATGCAGCGCGATGAGCGCTTTCCCCTTCTGTGGATGCCAGATTTACTTGAAAGGCGAAACTCAGGTAATCTATTATAATAAGACACGCGCATTTTTAGTTTTTCTGCATATACACAACAACTGAGCACTGTTAACAGTGATGATTTCATGACTTATCCCTTCTCTTCATCCTAGGTTTAGTTATCACGCTGGTGCAGCTACTGCTCGTGAGTATCTCAAAATTTTCCCCTGCTATTGCAGCGTTCCTAAGCTGCGAAGCTTTGGATGAGGGCTTTAGGTTCAGCAAGGATTCCGGGCTATTTCTGCAAGCTTCTGATCCTGGAATCCAGATATCAAATTTCAGTATCGGGTCGTGGCATGTATCTATGGAGCGCAGGCTACTCGAGAGGCCACTTGGTCCCTGTTCAGGGCGACGAAAAAGATGACTCCGTGAACCTTTTTCCTATAAATATATCTCCTCAGGACGAATCATTCAACAATAATGACTGGTACATTACGCGACTGCTACGCTTCTCTGTTTTTGTTTGGCTTTGTTGGTTTTTCGACGTTACGGCGTGCCGTGCTTTGGCTAATTATTAAGGCCCTGTCTTTGTATTTCTGCATTGCTTGCTTCCTACGTATATCTGTTCCTGCCGATGTGCCTGTTTTCCTTTGTTGCTATCAATCTGCTTTCCATACGATTTGCCATGCGGCATGTGGTTCCTGCCGTCGTTATTTGGTCCGCTTATCTGACTGCTCGAGAAACATACGCTTATGTGCCTTCATTTTTCTGTAATTCTTGTCTGGTGTCCTTTTGTGTTCCTCGTTCTGCGCTCACTGCCTACCTCCTTGCATACTTCTTCCTTCGCTTAATTCAGTTCCTCATTGGATGCACTCCTAGTAAGCTGTGTTACAAGGCTCACCGTGTTTAATGCACAGAATTCTGGGCCCTACTTAACATTCGCGGTCTACATGCCTGACTTCATTATCTGAGGAGCCTTTTCTTAGTTCCGTTCATCGACCTCTTCGCGTTCTGTTGGGTGTGTTCTGTGCGGTACTTCTGCCTCTGGAAATATCAGGGTTTTCAAGTGTCCCCACGATTTTCGTATTTTCCGTGTTTTTATTTGTAGTATTTGCAATGAGGGACCTCGCACGTTCCAACTTCACAGATACTTCGCCGCTCCCAGCCTCACCTGCCCCTACTTTCTTGTAAAGCATTCTTTCATGCTATTCCATGGGCTAACTCTCTGCAAATGCTGCTGTCTCTGCCACTGCTTGTGGTCGCATTTGTTTCTTACAGGACTACCTTAGAATTCATGGTTTTGTCTCTGCGCCACTACTTTGAGGACGTGTTGGTGTTTAGTGGTCCTATGTGGCTGCCCACAGACGCAGCTTTTCTTTCGCCATCTGTCTATGGCGATCGGCTGCCAAATGACACAGACCATTTGGGCAGCTCCAAGGAGTTTTACACATGCATAAGGGTAGAACCTCCATCATGGCTTCAAAGGCTACTTCGTAGCGTGGACGAAGGCTGTAGAAGTACATTCATCTGCATTCATCTGTTTTACATTGCCCATGCGTCTCTGTGCCCCCCTGTCACTTCCGTTTCCATGCATATAGGAAATGCGCATTTTGAAGCTCCTTATGCGTTCTGAATCTTCGTGAAAAAGCTGTGCATGAGTCTGCTAATGTACTTGCGCATACCATCACATCATGTGCACTTGAACTTTCTATATGGCATTTGTTGTTGTGTTGCTGCACCGTTTCAGTCAGCCTCAGTTTCTTCACAAGTAAATGACCCTGTGTTGTATGTCGCTAGTGCTTGCACAGGCCATGGAAAGGAGCCCATGTCGGGTTGCCCGTTAGCATAGTGGTGTTGACCGGGTATCCCTATCCTTTGGCCGTGGGTCGTCGCTTCCTACGGACATCATTCTCAAAGCGTAGGCCGCTTCCGCAGCAAAAGCACTCATGGCTTGCGCACGATTATCCTCTACAGAAAATGTTTGAGCACTGCCGCTGGCGGCTGAGCCATTCCACAAATGAGCCAAAGAAGCCTCCAGCTATGAGCATTGAGTACGACGTCATAGGTTACAGCCTCGTGCCAGTGCCCACCCACCTATTCAAGGTTGTTTTGGGTGTCAATGCTCGCAATTTTGCAAAGGAACAAGTGCGTGACTCCTCGCTAAGGGGTGCGGGTGCGCCACTTAAATCCCAAGTGCTGTCCTGGCCCGAAAGCCGACCGCCCCCAGCTATCTTTGGCGCCTTCGTTATGCCAAACAAAGCCATGCCCGATGATCAGCATGCTGAACGCTTCAGAGTTCCTCTCAGTTTCATTGAGTTGACAACAGGCATTGACTTTGGAGTAAGCAACCTCAGGAACCCTTCTCGACCTTGCATCCTGGCTATTTCGCCAGGCATACATAGGCATTTTCACGCCTTGAAGCAGGTATAAGCGCAAGTCTGCAGACTGCGTATAAATCGGCTGGCTCAGGATCTTATGATGCACCAACAGTAGTTAGCATTTGTGGGTAGGAAATGTGCCTTGTTAGGTGGACACTTTTGCGTGCGCATCAGGTGTCCTGCCCGTATAGAACAGAATTTGTTTCAGGTGTCTCTTAAAGGTTGCCTAGCGAAGACAGAATGAGTCTGAATGCATGTTCGCGCGTCTCTCCAGGTGATAATGGACATCATCGAAGTCGCTGAGGGTAAAAGTGTAGAGGCTGTGTTAAGGCAAAGGAGAGTCCTGCGGTCTGTGGCAAGAAGAACGGAGTCAATCTATTCGCCCTCAGGCCGTTTTAGGAAGGAGAGCTGCGTTTCGGAGGAAGAGGAGGCCCTAGTACAGAGTGAACTTAAGCTCCTGGAATACGATGTCTGCTCTGTATTCCATCCCAACCGTAAGGTGCTCAGCAAAAAACGGCACAAGCGAACTTTCTGCAAGTACTCGTGACGCACTAGTTCGCCTGGGCGGCAAATGTTTTTGCACAGACTACCTGCAGAGTCTGTCTTTTTATACTCGGTGATAGCGCAGAAGCACCGGACGTGGGGCCGGTGCATGTGCCAGAAGCCCCTCCAGAAGACCATAAGACAAAAAACAGTAATGACGACCAGTTTTTCGCTAGTGAATGTCACGGATTGGCACATGGTTGCTTCAGTGTACCTTACATGTGTTCCAGTTCCACCCAGCCGGCGTCAGTAAAAGTGCAGGAGGTGACCTGTGTTCCAATGAACCTGGATTTCCTTTTTGCAGCCCGCTCTCCGTTGTGGCACGCTGGTTAATTTTCTGTAACTCTCCCAAGACCTTTCTTGAACTACTTTTCCTCGGCATAACTTTAGTGGAGCGCGTTCACGGTGTTGACACCAATGGCGGATCGCCCAACAGGAGTGTTCCGGACGCAAAGCCATCAACAGGTTGAAGGCTGCTCAAGATTTTGTTTGCCTGTGCTGTCTACGCGAGGGACAGCAAAAATGCAACAACTGTGCCTGAAAGTCTCCTGCAGTCACTACACGGCAGCCTATGCGAATGCACTCTATCTCGAGCATCCGCTGCCTTATGAAGCTGCAATCGCCGGGAACCATAGTGAGACGTTTGGATGCTACAGTCTCCGTTTTAGCTTCGAGATACTTCACTGCGCTGCTTCTGAAAGATTGGTCCTCTTTTGCCGCTTTACTGCGTTGGGGCCACTGCGCAAACATAAGGAAGACGAGGAAGCATAGTGAACGTCCAGACTTGTGATCACACATAGCCTCTTAGCAGCTGCGGTATCGCTGACACAGATGGACACTCTACGCGTTACTGAGATCCACAATGTCGTTGGTGTCCCCCAGCCACGAACTTCCGCCTGACTCACTACAGGGAGACTACAACGGCGCCTCAGACCATATGTGCCTCTCTTTCGCTTTAGCTGTGTCTTTCATATCTCTGTGTGCGACAATTCTGCCTGTTTTCATGACTAAATGCACTCCGTAGTGGCGCGTGTTTCTTCTCTCGGAAGAGGTTCTTTGGTGGTAAGGGCAAACGAGCCCCAACCTCAGTTCCATACTTTGTTGTGGCAGCATAGGAACTCACCGGTGGGTGGTAAAAGAAAGGTCCATGATGCGCTGCTTCATCAGCAACAGAAACAGGCAAGGGCATGCAGCGACGGAGTCTTGCAAACCAATTACACTCGCAGACAATCCGGGCAAGCAATGCCACTGTCTAGGCATGTTTGCATTAAATATTGAGTAGGCAATGTCTCAAAGTCTTCATATTTTCCATTAGCTCAAGACTAAGGACAAGCACTCAGGAAGGCTCATGATGCGATCAGGACAACAAGGCCACCGGTCTGAGTACCTGCAGGCCTGTGGTCCAGTGTCGTTCTCTGCCTTTGGAGAAGCTGTGGAGCTCGTGCATCGGTTCCACCTCCATCATCGCCTTGTACTCATTTGAAAACCTAGATTTTGTAAAATCAGTCGCGAACACTTTTTTTACATAGCCATGAAGCTCACTTTTTCTCAGGTTCCGACGCCGTTAGTCCATCACAGAGTTCAGACTCAAAAATTCAGGCTTCGAAAGACTCATGGAAAGAGTCCTTTGTTTTCTAGTGGACGTCTAAGTACAAAGTAGAGGGACAAGAAACTCCCACAGCTGTGTGAACCCGGAGCTTAATTTCGCCGCCTCCTTTAGGATTCTGCGGGTTGCTGCAGATATGAGCTGTGTTGCGGTTTAGCGGCAGCCTGTGCTGGGAACCAGCTCGCGTTTGCTATTGTGTGCAGTGTGCCTCTTGGTCTGCAAAGGCCCCACTTTCGCGAGTCAGGAAGGCGCTGAGCCCGCGTTTCAAAGCAACGCCTTCTGTTTAGGATCGCTACGCGGCTACAGGGCATTCTATGCATGCCGGATAATCTGGGAGCTACTCGTGCGCGGGCATACATGAGGTAAAAATAAATACATTCCAATGTTGGTATGCATATCCGAAGATGAGCAGACAAATGTGTATAAATACATATATGTCTACATCCTCTGTGTGCAAGAGGAATACGTATATATATATATATATATATAATCCCATCCTGCTCGGAGAGCTTCTAGCGGGTTTGTCTCTGGGGTCAATCTGGCATGCTGGGTCAGGCACTTCCAGCGCCAGTCAAAGCCTCCCCTTGGCGCGCCAGCTGCGCTCTGTAGCATTCTTCTTCTGGGCGCTGACCGTCGCGGCAATTGGAACACCGCGCCTTCTTTCTGTTAAACCTGGGCTACACTACAGTTTGCTGAGACCGTATAATCAGGTGTTGCAGAGACGTGGTGTGCACAGAGTGTGCTACTTGCCCGTGGGCCCAGAACAACATGAGCGTAAAGGCAAGAGCTTGCGGCGTACCAGCGGCTCCACGCAGCGCGCAAAGAGGCCTCCGCAAGCCAGACATAGCCGCAAGACCGGGCACTTCGTGCAGCTCTTGGTGCCTTTTTGTCTTGGGCAGACCCGTAGAGGGCCAGCGGATTGGCCATGCCAGACGGTAATTCACAGTTCTAGCAGCTCTTGGTGTGCTTTTTCTGCTTATTCGCTGCCATTTCTGTTCTCTTAAATGCTGCACCTTTCATATCCATCTCCAACGTATGGTAGGTGCATATAACCTAGTCGTTTTTTCTTTCTGCCTCCCCGGAAGCAGCCTCAGGAGGTAGTAAAGCTCCTGCCAACAGCAAAACAGGCTAACGGCTCATTTCGTCCTGCTGCTACCAGCTGCTCTGCTGTTGTATGTTCGCGTACACCCGCGGGATACACACACCACAAACAGTCTCTACGTGCGCTTAGAGCTAGAGGATTCCGTTGCTGCAGTCAGTGCTCCCAATTTCCTCATACTAACTCATGATGGTCTTTGAAACTTTGTGTCTGGCTCACTTCCTGCTGCTCTTCTTTCTTCTGGTCGCGGTTGAATGCTCTTGCATTTAGTGATGTTACAGAGAGAGCAGAACATTCGTCTGAGTAGTATTTGCTTCATCACACGAGTATACCCCCCTCAGTCACTAACGCCCCTCTTCCTTTCTCGTGTTGATTATCCTGCCACTTATGCAGAGCGTAGCACTTTCTAATTCATGTATCTTTACTTTCACTCCTTGCCAAAGCCAGGACTACGCAACACTGGAATTTCACTGCAAGGGACACCGGATTCGCAGATTCGCCTGCTCCTCATTTCGGTGCTTTCTGCGCGGTTAAGCAGTCACCCGCCTTCCTGTCTGTCTGTCTACCCAGATTACTTGCGCCTTGCAGCTTGCAAAAAGGGACTGAAGCCGTGCAGCGTGCTGCCTTGTGGTTACTGATGTAGACACAGTTTAATGTGGGATTTTGTTTTTGAGCGAATGGTGCGAGCCTTTCGGTGGCCCTTCAACTCTCTAGCCGATGCGCTCTAGCGGGAATAGAAGCTTTCATGGTCTGCTTGTTCTGAGCATTCACTGGATTTCTGCCAACACCAATTACGTCTGCAAACCTTTCAAACCGTGCTAGTGCCCGCACGTCAGTCAGCCTGTACGTTTGTAAATAAAAGTTATGGAGACGGAAAGAGACATGCACTCCAGCACGTAAAGAGCCAACAAGAGGCGCCAGTTGGGTTGTTGAAGAAACAGTCGTTCAGTCTCTGTTCATGCATTATTGACGAAGGCCTCAGAATTGGAACTGTAGATAGCGTAGGATCCCATGAAATGTGGAGGAGTTCTAGAGGCCAGCAGGGTGCTTGATGGGCAAAACATAACTAGGGGCTCTCAGTCGCACCGCAAGGAATGCATTACGTACGGCGAAGCATTAAGCAAAGAGACTGAGTGCTGCAACTCCCAGACACAGAAGCAACAGCGACGAAGTTGCGCACAAGGAAGAGAGAGGAGAAAAGTATCATGGGAGAGGCGGAAGAGACTGCCATAATGTAGAATGGTTTACACTATATTTTGGGAGAGATCCAGTTCTTCCACCGTGCCGGGTGAAGAACAGTGAACTTGAGAAGTGAAAGAACTGCGACAAAGCAATCTTGAAGTGCGACGGAACCGCCCTGGCACTGCACTTCAGGGGACCATTCCCTGCGCTTGAGGACTAAGGCTTGAGTTGAAGGTTCACCGAGCATTCAGCAAAGGATAGCGACTGGTTGCAAGAAGTGTTATTCCCAGGTGGCGGTGTCATTTATCCGCAACCAGACATACAACCCTTTTTACCCCGCGGCTGATTTACTGGGCAAAACTGAGAAGGGGGGGCTAATAGCACTGCACAAAAACATATAGACTGAATAGTTAGTAAAACGTAGAATTGGAATGCGTAACGCAACAAAGTCAACACACCCATACAAAGGGGACCGTCCTATTTTTTCAGATTGGGGTTTCAACTCCTCATCACCTGTCTCTTGCAGAAATAAGTCTGTATGCAGTCTTGAAACAAGTCCCTACAGTATGAAAAATGATACTTTAGGCGAAACGCTGGAGCAATGCCAACTGTCACGCTCCAACCTCTCCGGCCTTTCTGAAAAGAAATATTTGCTTTTTAAATTTTAATGCATATTCCTGCACTTTATCTCCAAATGGCCTAAATATTTCCAGAGCTCCTGATGGTGAGCACCGTTTGGGGACAGACTTGCCAGAGGAGTCACGAAACCGTCCTCCCTGCTCCTTTCATTTTATGTATTTGGACGTCCCCACATCACAGCGAGAGAAAAGCCATTGTTTCTTTAATAAGAAACAAATGTGGGGAGGAGACACAACTTCTGGCTTGGCAGCCGGCTAAGCGTGGAATAGGATGTTTCTACGTGGGAAACCCATCTGGACTGCACATTGGGTTACATTGTATCTTTGTTTCACCACGCATTTAGTTCGCGGGCCCGTACCTGCATCCAACAATTTGGATCCTGCTCGTGGGGTCCCCGCAGCACGTGAGACATCCCCAGTCCATATCCCTGGCTTCTTTGAGGAGTGGAGCTGGAAAATGGATGGCCGCAGCAGCCGCAGTCTGGTCCAGCTCACCCATATGCTCACGTGGTTCGGTTGTTCGTGGTTGCTTGTGCCGAGGCCTGAGGCAGTAGCAGCAGCAGCAGAAGCAGGAGCACCGCACTCACCTCCATCTTTTGCGGGAGGTCACGCCAATTCACGTGGAACTGAGAGTCAGAGTAGACGATGGTATCAAAGGCCAAAGAGAGTTCAACAGATCAATGGCCTTCCTGTAGGTTGGCTGAAAGAACTGGTAGAAGGACGGGAGCCAGGAGTGGCATTAGGGAGGCCCGCTGCCGAACGCCAGAGTACCAAAGCTACCGAGGAACAGACGCCAACACCGTCAGTATCTTACCACATACAGGTTCTACCAGAAAGCGTTTTTTCAGTCGGAATGGCCACATTTTCTAGTAATGTTCAACGTGCCCGCTAGCAGCCCCAGATGGTGGTGGAGCACTTCCACGACGAAGACGCAACAAAAATAAACGCGCTTCCGTCAGCACTGTCGCAAAAATCCCGTAGTCCATCTTCTGAACGATCAGTCGAGAGTAACGAACCAAGTATGCAGTCTCCTACTCTTGAAGGAGGAGAGGTACGGCTGCCTAACCTCGGCATGAAGAAGCAATCAGTTGTCTATCGTGATGAGCGCTTTGCCCCTCTGTGGAGACCAGTTGAATATGAAAGGAAGAACACAGGTGATTCGCAGAACAAAACATGTTTTCATTTGACACTTTAATTGGCTAATGCGCGGCGTGCTGGGCGTTATCATCAGTGTCCCCTCCATGACCTGAAATGCTGCTTCTGTTGGTGTTCGTGCTAGCTTCACTCAAGGCGGTAGCTGTGGTGGTGTCGCAGCTGCTGCTCATGCCTAACGCGCAATTCTGTATCGTTACTGCATTGTTGCTGAGCTATGCGGCGTATTGGGAGTGCGTGGTCACTGGAACTGTTTTGTCGTGTTGCGGGACGTGCTTGACCCTGAAATTCAGATATCATGTTCATTTTTGGGGTGCGGCATGTATATATGGAATGCAGCGTACTCAAGGGGCCACTTGGCGCCTTTGTGGGGCCACGAAAATGATGAGGAAATGAACTTCTTGCCTACAAACATATCTCCGCAAGAGGAGACACTTAACAATAAGAATTGGTATATCTCGTGGCACCTGGTTTTCCTTCTTGGTGTGTTAGTCCTTCAGATTTACAACCTGCCGTCTTTTGGTTAAATAGTGTATTCCTGTCTTCTTGTCTCGCCGTTGTGTGCTCTCTAGGTGTGCGTGCTTCAGCGGATGACTCTGTGCTCCTTTGCCGCCTTCATCCTGCTTTTCGTTATTACCAAGTGGCATCTGCTTTTGTCTTCGCATTTCCTTGTTGGCTGTTTGGTTTTCTTATAGGGCTTGTTAAGGAGCATGTGCATACTCCTTTGCATTTTCCTGTCGCCTTCATTTGGTTTGCTTATGTGCCATGTCTCTCGCTTTTTTGTCCGCTGTCTGCCTTCTTGTGTACTACTTTCTTTGTTGCAAATTGCATCCCTAGCAAGGCGAGTTCCGCGGCTCGCCGGCTTCTCCATTGAAGGGTCCAGTAGGTACCTGTCTTCTGCGGTATAATTGGCTAGTCTTATTTTGCTGAGGATCCTCTTCGTAGTTGCTTCATCTGCCTCTTTACTCTTTGTTAAGTGTGTTCAGTGTGGTCCGTCTGCCTCTGCAATTGTCTTTGCTTTCCGATATTTTCCCGTGCAGTTGCCTGATTCCCCGTTTGACTGTAGGGCAGGCTTTGGAAGGCCTGGGACGGCCGAGCACTTCCGGTACTCCGCCGCTGCCAGCCATCTCCGTTGTGACTCTCCCTGACTCGCTGAAAACTATTGAATGCAACTCCACTAAATAGTTGCTTATGGACGCTGCTTTCTCTCTATCTTCTGCGATTGTGTTTGCTGTCATCCGCTCCTTACAGGACTGTTTTTGAATCCATGGTTTCGTCTGTGCGCTCGTACTTTAAGGACGTATTGGCATTTACTGGTCCTATGTGGCTGCCCATAAACACGGCTACTGTTTCGCCATCAGTCTACGGAGATGTGTTCCCAAATGTCAAAAGCCCTTTGGGTGGTTCGAAGAGAATATATATTTGCTTGAGGTTAGCAACTCCGTCATGCCTGCAAAAGGGTATTTTCTAAGGTGCACGCAGGCTGTAGAAATACATTAATCTGCTTCACGTAGCCGACACGCCTCTCCTTCTCTTTCTCCAGTGTTTTAGGACTTACGGAAAGCGCGTGTTTTGTACCTGCTTGTGCGTTGCAAAAGTGTGACGTTCGAGTATTCTTAATATTCCCGCTGAGAGTGTACATGAATCTCTCGACCCGGAATTCGTCTCTGTTTCGCTGTGGTATTGCTGTTTGCCCGCGTCTCTTAATAATAACTTGGCCCTGCATGCCCTGCTGCTACTGCTTGCACAGGCCGTGGAGTGGAGCCCGTGTCGGGTTGCCCATTAGCGTAGAGGCACTGACAGGGTCCTCCTATCCTGTGTCCTTGGGTCGTCGCTTCCTACGAGCGTCATCCCCAGAGCGAAAGCCGCCTCCACAGGCACGATTCTCATGGCTTGCGCACGAGTCTCCTCTGCGGAGCATGTTTGAGCGCTGCCGCTGGCGACTCAGCCATTCAGCAAATGAACCACAGAATCTTCCACCTATGAACATTGAATTTGAGGTCCTGGGTCACAGCCTCGCGCCAGTGCCCACTCACTTTTTCAAGGTTGTTTTGGGTGTTAATCCTAGGGACCTCGAGGAGAACAAGCGAAATGACATGCCGCCAAGTATTGGCCATGTTCCAGTTGCCTCCAAAAAGGCGGCCTGGCCCCAGGGTACTCCCCCTCCATCTGTGTTTGGGGCATTCGTTGTGCCAAACAAAGCCATGCACCATAATCTGCGTGCTGAAAGCTTCAGAGTTCCTCTCAGTTTTATCGAGTTGGTGACAGGAATTGATTTTGGAGTAAGCCATCCGAGGACCCGTTCTCAACTTTGTACTGTGGTTAACCCATCAGACAAACGTAGGCTTCGCTGTGCGCTGGATCTGATGGAAACGCAAGTCTGAGCGCTGTATAGAATTCGCTTGCCATAGAATTCGCTTGGCTTTAAATTGCATGTTGATCAGAGTTGACGAGCCTTCGTGTCGGAATGCGTCTCTTGGTGGAACTTTGGCGTGGGTGGCATGTAGACTCAGGTTTTTGTCTGCGCTGAGAGGAGGTAGAGGTGTTGGTTTCAGGCATTTTTATGGTTGTGTGTCGAAAAGAAGGACGCGCCCGCTTGCATACTTTTGCGTCTTTTCATGTTGTAATGGACATCATTGACGTCGCTGAGGGTAAAAGCGTAGAGGATGTACTGCGACGGAGAACACCCCAAGCGCCGCAATCTCTGACAAGAAGGACAGACACAGCCTATTCTGCCTCAGGCCGTTTCCGGGGAACCATGGCTTTCGCTGAAGAAGAGAACGCGCTTGTAGAGAATGAGCTAAAGCTCTTGAAGTATGATATCTGCTCTGTACTTCACCCGAAGCGTAAGAAGTTCGGCAAAGCTCGGCAGAAGCGGACTTTCTGCAAGTACTCGTGACGCACTAGTTCGCCTGGGCGGCAAATGTTTTTGCACAGACTACCTGCAGAGTCTGTCTTTTTATACTCGGTGATAGCGCAGAAGCACCGGACGTGGGGCCGGTGCATGTGCCAGAAGCCCCTCCAGAAGACCATAAGACAAAAAACAGTAATGACGACCAGTTTTTCGCTAGTGAATGTCACGGATTGGCACATGGTTGCTTCAGTGTACCTTACATGTGTTCCAGTTCCACCCAGCCGGCGTCAGTAAAAGTGCAGGTGACCTGTGTTCCAATGAACCTGGATTTCCTTTTTGCAGCCCGCTCTCCGTTGTGGCACGCTGGTTAATTTTCTGTAACTCTCCCAAGACCTTTCTTGAACTACTTTTCCTCGGCATAACTTTAGTGGAGCGCGTTCACGGTGTTGACACCAATGGCGGATCGCCCAACAGGAGTGTTCCGGACGCAAAGCCATCAACAGGCTGAAGGCTGCTCAAGATTTTGTTTGCCTGTGCTGTCTACGCGAGGGACAGCAAAAATGCAACAACTGTGCCTGAAAGTCTCCTGCAGTCACTACACGGCAGCCTATGCGAATGCACTCTATCTCGAGCATCCGCTGCCTTATGAAGCTGCAATCGCCGGGAACCATAGTGAGACGTTTGGATGCTACAGTCTCCGTTTTAGCTTCGAGATACTTCACTGCGCTGCTTCTGAAAGATTGGTCCTCTTTTGCCGCTTTACTGCGTTGGGGCCACTGCGCAAACATAAGGAAGACGAGGAAGCATAGTGAACGTCCAGACTTGTGATCACACATAGCCTCTTAGCAGCTGCGGTATCGCTGACACAGATGGACACTCTACGCGTTACTGAGATCCACAATGTCGTTGGTGTCCCCCAGCCACGAACTTCCGCCTGACTCACTACAGGGAGACTACAACGGCGCCTCAGACCATATATGCCTCTCTTTCGCTTTAGCTGTGTCTTTCATATCTCTGTGTGCGACAATTCTGCCTGTTTTCATGACTAAATGCACTCCGTAGTGGCGCGTGTTTCTTCTCTCGGAAGAGGTTCTTTGGTGGTAAGGGCAAACGAGCCCCAACCTCAGTTCCATACTTTGTTGTGGCAGCATAGGAACTCACCGGTGGGTGGTAAAAGAAAGGTCCATGATGCGCTGCTTCATCAGCAACAGAAACAGGCAAGGGCATGCAGCGACGGAGTCTTGCAAACCAATTACACTCGCAGACAATCCGGGCAAGCAATGCCACTGTCTAGGCATGTTTGCATTAAATATTGAGTAGGCAATGTCTCAAAGTCTTCATATTTTCCATTAGCTCAAGACTAAGGACAAGCACTCAGGAAGGCTCATGATGCGATCAGGACAACAAGGCCACCGGTCTGAGTACCTGCAGGCCTGTGGTCCAGTGTCGTTCTCTGCCTTTGGAGAAGCTGTGGAGCTCGTGCATCGGTTCCACCTCCATCATCGCCTTGTACTCATTTGAAAACCTAGATTTTGTAAAATCAGTCGCGAACACTTTTTTTACATAGCCATGAAGCTCACTTTTTCTCAGGTTCCGACGCCGTTAGTCCATCACAGAGTTCAGACTCAAAAATTCAGGCTTCGAAAGACTCATGGAAAGAGTCCTTTGTTTTCTAGTGGACGTCTAAGTACAAAGTAGAGGGAAAAGAAACTCCCACAGCTGTGTGAACCCAGAGCTTAATTTCGCCGCCTCCTTTAGGATTCTGCGGGTTGCTGCAGATATGAGCTGTGTTGCGGTTTAGCGGCAGCCTGTGCTGGGAACCAGCTCGCGTTTGCTATTGTGTGCAGTGTGCCTCTTGGTCTGCAAAGGCCCCACTTTCGCGAGTCAGGAAGGCGCTGAGCCCGCGTTTCAAAGCAACGCGTTCGCGTTCCCCCTGGGGAGGTGTACAATGCCTGTGCTGCACCACTTCAACGGTCGAAAATTGAGGACGAAGGACTACTCCTTTATTCTTATGCTGCAGCACTTGCTAGCATGCTTTTGTTTCACACTTTCTTGTTTTCTTCTGTTGGAGCCTGGGACAGCAACAGCGGCATCTTTGGGAAAGGCTCCTAGCTTTCTTCTTCGTCCACAGAGGGTTTCAAATTCCCAGGGCCCACAGAGGGACCAAAAGGATGAACAAAACGGTTCAGATTGGCTCAAAGAAATCCTCGAAAAACGTGGGCTGGAAATGCCGGCGGAAGTGAATGCCGCGAAGGGCTTTCGTCCCCGAGGCTCTGCTGAAGCATCTTACAAAGATATTTTCTTAAGTGACAGACGTGTATATCTAGGCCAGTTGACCTTTTCTACTGTGTTTAACCAGGCCCTCAAGCAGCCGCAGTTAGTGGTGGAGCATTTCCGGGAAGACGAAGCAGCAAGAACGCGTTCGGCCGACGCATCAGATGCACATTATACTCCAGCCTTTGAAAGTTCACCTAGCAGCGATGAATCAACAGCACTCTCTCCTGTTTCTGAAAGCATGGAATTGCGAGAACTTGAGGCGTCAACGACAAAGAAGACTGTCGCCATACCGTCGCACTTTTATTTTGATCGCAGCATATCACGTCTGTGGAGACCAGCTATGTACGAGGAGAAAACGACAGGTGATACATTTGTGGTTGAAGCGTGGCTTGTTTACAGCGGAAGGGGCAAAAGAGCTGTTGCTGGACAGCATCTGCATTGTTTCCCCCCTGAATTGATTTTGCCTAGTACATCACTACTGCTAGCTTCAGTGCACCTGCTAGCCTTCCGCTGCCGTTCACATTGAATATCCTGAGTGCATCTTGATACGGTGTGCAGGGTACACGAAGGGCCATTTGGCAGCTCAACGGGACCATGGAGATGATCCTGCCTTGAATTTGATGCCTGCAAATATATCACCTCAAGAAAAGACACTTAACGGTGGACATTGGTATATCTCATGCGTGCAGTTCCAGCCCTCTCTTTGAGCCGCTGCAACTTTTTATTGCTCTGTCTTTCGATGTGTTTTACTCCGATTGTGGCATCATCTCTCTTCGTGTCCCTAGTTCCGGCATCCTAGGTGTGTCTTCCCCTGCCGACAGTTCTGATCTTCTGAGTTTCCCTCGCTCTGCTTCTTTACATTTCTTTCGTTCTCAAAAATGCACTCCCATGACTGTTTTCTTTTTGTGACTGCCATTCGGTATCTTAATAGGTTTTAGCTTTCTTTCTGCATATGGCTTTACCTGCCATGCAGTCCATTCGGCCGTTTGAACTGTGGAGTACTTCACATTTTTCTTCCCAGGCGTTTCTCGAACTGAAGTTTACTGCAGTTTTCACGGAGATTTTAACGAGACTCGTTTGTTTCACAGTGTCGCTGCATGTGCTGAGCCATCCCGCAGATTTACGCTTTTCATACGCTCTGCTGTAACTGGTTGTCCCTGCTGCTGCTCCTCCCCACTTTGCTGCATTCTTTTGAGGACGGCGCTTGACAAAAATTATTCCACTTGCATTGCTGCCATCTCTGCCAGCGCTGCTAGTGGTCTTTGCTTTCTGCAGGAGCGTCCTCGAAGCTTTGGCTTCATCCTTGCGCCGTTTCTTTAAGGACGTACTGATTTTCACTGGCCCTATTTGGCTACCGACAGATGCAGCATCTTTTTTGCCATCTGTTTCGGGCGATCCACTTCCACGAAATATAGACCCTTCTGGTAGCTCGAAACAGGTTTATGCGTGCTTAAGGTTAGCGTCTTCGTGATTTCTGCCGAGGCTATTTCCTGGGTTCCAATTTGAATGTATCGCTTTCACGCTATTTGTTTGTCAGCCACCTATTTGAAAATGGAGGGTGGATTAGTGCTCACATGTGCACTCCATCTCCAAATATGTAGCCCGAACGATGTGCGAATGCCTTCTGCTGTGATGTGTAAGAAATCGATTTTTGAGCCTCCCTACACACAAATGTACACGTACACCTTTTGAAACCATGCAGAAAACAAATGAAACATCTCGAGCTGCTTCTCTAGTTGCGCCGTCGACGAAGATAGTGCTCTTGTGTCTTCTGGAGCCACTGCGTGAGCAGGCCATGGAGAGGAGCACCAGTGGCATTGCCTGTCAGCGTGGAGACGTTGACAGGATCCCCCTTTCCTTCGGCCAGAAGCCGCCCATTACTACGGCGATACCCTAATCGAACGCATGCTCCTGAAGAAAATGCTCCGTGGCTTGCGCACACGCCGTCTCTACTCCATATGTTTGAGCGCTGCCGCTGGCGTGTTTACCAGTCTGATTACGAGGAAAGGGAACTTCCACCTATGCAAATCGAGTACGAAGTACTTGGTCATGGCTTCCTTCCTGCGGCCACTCATTTCTTTAAAGTCCTTCTGGCTGTTTCTCCCAAGGAAGCCGTACGTAAGGAAAGGCTTGGCGCTTCGCCAAGTGGGAGCCACAAGCAATCGCAGGCCAAAAAGGACTACTGGCCCTACAGCACACCCCCCCCTGCTGTGCTCGGCGCTTTCGTCTTGCCGAACAGAGTAATCTATGAGGACGTGAGAATCTCGCGTTTTGAGGTCCCTCTAAGCTTTGTTGAGTTGGTTTCGGGGATTGATCTTGGAGTGAGCCAACTTAAGACCCCTTCTAAAATAGGAGTCTCTGACTAGCTTTACGGACACACATGAGCTCCTGCATGCAGTGAAAAAGGAGCTTTAATATGGAATAATGACGGACTTATGCCTGCATCCCATTCAATTAAGTTTTAATTTCATACCTCACAGAGAATCATGGACTAATTGAGTTAGATGCAGGCATAACTCCGTCATCATTCCATATTGAAGCTCCTTTTTCACTTCATGTCAAAATCATCTTCTCTCAGGTGCACGTTTTGTGTACTGCACATGAGCCCTGATGCCGTTTGTCCATACTGACCATCAGACAGTCGTTGCAGATGCTGGTGCTGGTTTCCAGTTTGTCAAGACGGTAGACAAAGGGTGTCTGGCTTTTCTGTAGGTGTTTCTGCAGGTGGTTTTGGATATCATACGAGCTGCTGAGGCCAAGCATGTAAA